TTTTATTGCTTAGGGTAAGGATAGAGTAATAGCACTTATCTAAAAGTTGCAGATTGCAAGAACTACACATATAGTACTTAAGGCGTGCTCATGAATGCTTCATAACTTCATTTAGAGGCTTCGAAAAAACACCTCTCAGTGACATGGTAATACAGATCATTAATTTTAACCCTCAGGCACTGAATTTTCATGTTTATCTCTCATTCTTTCTATTGGAAAACACATTGGAAAATCAACTTTTAGAGATTGACAATTGTTTGGTATATGAAATATGTATAATTTTAGGCCTTACAGTTACCACATTTGATCTAGAAAGTAAATTAGAAACAGATTTTGGGCCTATTTCTGGGTTTTGCCCTTTTGTAGACCCAATCATAGAGAGGTGGTTAAAAATAAGGATTTTTAAGTATAGAGGTAAAGAGACCAGTGAAGAATGTGATGGAATCAGTTGCATGTCTTTAGATAAGTATGAAGATAATTGAAGTATTGCCTAAAAATTTTACTAATGTTGCAAAAGCATAAGCTGAAAAGAAAAAAAATTAGAGTGGGAATAACTCAAATGGATTTGAATTTTTGGTTTTTTGAACTGATGAAGAAAACAAATCTATTTCATTATGCATTCTAGAATTGATCACAGTGATCACAATTATGAAATAATCCACAATCGAATTTCATGTTGAAGCACAAAAAATATTTTACAAAGCCTTTTAAAATTTTAAAATAAATAGAAGGATACTCAAGTCTATGTGTCTATGTGCGGAGTAACATAGAATGAAAATGTTAGACTTTAGAATTATGTTTTTAGCATTACGATTAGTTTCAGAACCCAGATCTACTGAAGCAGTTAGCAAGACATTTATCAAACCTGCCAACAAAGAAACGGTGACAGGGAGATTCAGGGATATAACAAACAAAATGATTCATTAAATGCCTATGTCCAATATAATTCATCTTTTACTTATGGAGATGACCAAATATGCAAAGAAGTAATTATTATTTCTGGTATAAAAAAGTTGTTATAATTCACTGCAGACTGAAGAATTCATTCATAACTGTGCATTTTTTGCTAACGTGTACAAACAAAGAAAATTTAAACTTATTGTTGACTTCTTGAGAAACAGCAGCAGATTCTGGAGTCCATGTTTTTGGTTAAGCACAGATGATGCCAATGCCGTTGCCAGCTGAAAGAAAATGGTTTCTTCCATATAGTCAAGCAATTTCCAAGAAAGGCAAATCCACCCACTGTAGTATTCATAGAGAAGTCATTGAAGACAGAGATTCAGGGATTTTAAGAGAAGTACTTCATGGAGTTGTTAAAAGTATTCGTTGAATTAGTTCAAACCACCACTCATTTGTGCTCTCAGATTTGTAAATAGTTGATCAACCCTTATTCTTTAATACGAGATTTTCTGAAAACTCTTCACTCCCTATTAATTCAGTTTGCAAAAAGAGTCGCAGGTCTTCCTGGGTGAAAAATTCAGGCTTCTGGATGACTTTTTTTTTTTTTAAAGATCGGCACCTGAGCTAACAACTGTAGCCAATCTTTTTTTTTTCTCCTGCTTTATCTCCCCAAATCCCCCTATGTACATAACTATATATATATATATATGTGTATATATATATATGTATATAAACTATACATAGTTGTATATCTTAGTTGCAGGTCCTTCTAGTTATGGCATATGGGACGCCGCCTCAACGTGACCTGACGAGCGGTGCCATGTCCGCGCCCGGGATCTGAACCCTGGGCCGCCATAGCGGAGCACGCGAACTTAACCACTTGGCCAGGGGGCCGGCCCCTCTAGATGACTTTTATGATTAAGAACTACGTTACAAATTGAGATATTTTACAAAGATATTTTCTCATTTAAAAACCTAAAATGTCCTAATACAAATCTAAAATAAGTGTTCTACATTAAGACAAAAAATAAATCCAAGAAAACTGAAGCCGTAGACTATACCCTGTAATCATGTCAAGCTGGATGTGTCTCTGTCTCAGTGACTTGGTTACACCCTTATCTGAGGATTACTTGCAAAATATGCTGACTAGCTAAAAAGCTTGATTAATAGTTTTTTCGTGATTCTTTCCCAAACAATAGTAATAATGAGTGGGTAAGAATGCTTACACATCATTTAGCAAAGGAATTTGACAGTTTCTGAAGAATAATTCTGGAAAATATTTCAAAGCTTTCTTGAAGCAAAAATTTATTAAAAAATCTATTTTCATTTGGGTTAGAAATTGTCTAACATCCAAATACCTGGGTATTTATTAAATATCAGGTAAATCATCTCATAATTCATTGAACTTCTCAAAGTTATGACATCAATCCAAATATTCCTTTAATTACTGATCATAATTCTAAGAAAAATATACTCAGTATTTCTTTTGGTACATTGAATATATTTAGTAATATTTGTATTTTATTTTTATAACACACTCCCCCCCAGGGTTTGTTCCTGTTGCTGTTTGCTGGAGTTGTTACCTGTTTCTTTAGTGACCTTTCTGAATGAATTCTCTAAAGTCTGTTTTCTTTTCCATGTGTAGCCACTGAAGTCTCTTCTCAGTTATCTTAAGGATTGTTAATGATTGTAGGAAATCTGGAAACAGTAAGTTTCCCAATCTGTGCCAAGGGGCTTTGTGTGCTGTTTAGTCACATGCTCAACACTCATCCAGGCAGTTGTCAGCTCTGCCTTAGTTTTCTCTTCCTACCTTCATAGAGCCTCCAGGTTGCCACAGGTGGGAACTTAAAGGGCATCTCAGGTATTTTCAGAGCATCTGAATAGTCCTGGGCTATCACACATCTCTGTGCATTTGCAGCCTTCTAGATTCCCAGGAATATGTTGGAGTTTTCCAAAGCCACTGTGGACACCTCATTCTCCTCAAAAGCTTTTCCTTTAAAGTTATTGGTTACTCTATTTTTTGTCCCAGTTGTTATCCACTGTCCTAAGTGGCCACAGAGTTAATCAATTGCCTGTGATTTTTTTTGACAATCATGCCTTGGAAAAAAACTTTTCTGGGGAAACTTTTTGTATGGGGTGAGTTCTGAATCAAGTCAAACACAGACATCCTTGCAAGGGGAGTCTTCCCAGAGACCACCAGTGGGGTCAAATAATGAGTCATCCGAGAATGAGGCTTTGAAAGCATTTCAGCCCTGTTCTACTCCCTCTGGTTGCTCTCTGACTGCTGGCTTTCTCCACAAATGTAGAATGTTCTTCAAGGCTACCATGGACCTGATGTGAGGGATTAGGACAGGTTAAAATAATACAGAGCTCATACTTCTGACTCAGATTAGGCTGTTTTCTTGAATGAGTTCTCCCCAGATTACTGTAAGCCTTCAGTTAATTTCAAAAGTTCTGAGACAGCTAATTTTGATAGTTTTTTGGCCAGTTTTCTCATTACCTTTATGGAGGAGAGTTTTCAGCTGTTCTTAATCTGCCGTTTTCAATGATGCCCTTCCTGAGGACTATATCTTGGAGTGTTGGGTTCTTATTTTTCCTTCAGTCTTGTTTGTGGTTTCTTTTGCCACTCAACTTTTGTAAAATATGTTGTCAAACGCCTCAACAGATCTTCTTGGTTTACTCGGCAAGGTAACATTCTCCTTTAGCTCAAGATTCTACAAATAAACTCGTATTGTTTACTCTAATAATTTGCACTATTTTGTTTGCCTTTAGGTTTTCATTCATTTGAAATTTATTTTTGTTATGGTGAGAGTTAGATGTGAAGTAGAGAGACCACTTTTTTAAAAACAGAAATTCTACATTATTCCAGTTCCGTTAGTTAAAGTCAATGATTTCTCTCTCACTGAATTCAAATACCATTTCAAAAAACATTCAGATCTATTTCTTGGCTCTCGTTTTTCCCTCTGATCTTTATTACAACACAAAAAATAAATACTGCCTTAATATAGTGGTATTATAGGATGTTTTAAAATCTGATAGCAAGTTTTCAACATTATTCTTATTTTTAGTATACCTCTTGGCTGTTCTCACATACCTTCTCTTCCATTTCATGAGGTTCAAAAGAGAATACTCTTTTTCATTGTATTTTATATTAATATTGGGATAATTGATGGTATATGCTGTTAAACTTTTACATGACATATCATTCTTTTTATGCGGATCTTGATTTAAGCTTTTAAATATGAATTGGTGTTTGCTTTATATAGGTTCTCCCTTTTGTGTTGAATTTACTCCCAAATATTTTTCATTTTTTGAGATAAGTTTTTAAGTATTGTCACTATATTTTGTAACATATTATTATTCTTAGAGATAAAGTCTATTAATTTTCTTATGCTTATATCAAGCCATTTTACCAAAATCATTTATTGTAGTTTTAAATAGACTCTTTCGTTTTCCTAGGTATTTAATCAAATCATCTAAAGTTGTAGACATTTTATCTATTCATATTCAGTATTATAATAGTAACGTTTGGTTTCCTTATCCGGTTGCATTTAGCTAAACTTTCACAAAACATGATTACTAACAGTGATGATAAAAGATAATGAAACTTCATTCCTGAGTTCAGCGAGCATACATTTAGCATCTTATGATTTATTTTGATATTTTCTATTGTTTCTTTGTAGTATATTTGGGTAGTTTTTCCTTGGACTAGTTTAAAATTTATGGAAATGAGATAGCGAATTTGCCAAATGACTATTTTGTGGAGTGTTGGCCATATTCCTGTTGTTTTCTCCTTGATTTGTCAATGTGATGAATTATGATTTCAATATTTTAGTTTTTATCAATTCTTACAACATAACTAAAATAATTCTCTTTTATTATGATTACTTATTTGAGCACTGTCAGACCTCTTATATTTTATTCAGAATCTTGCAACAATTTTCATAAATGAAAACAGCCTATGGTTAGTTATTTTATATTATTTTAATCAGTATTTAAGTTATGATAGCTGCATAATTTGAAATAGAATCTGTTTCTTACTTTACAAAAGAATGGAAAGCTCCACAATTCGTTTATTTTTTGTGTATATTTTTTCTCAGCTAGATGAATTGAAAAGGGTTTGTGATCAACTAATCTGGAAGAAAAAAAATTATGAAAATGAATATCTGGAAGCACTTAATAGTTTTTATACCACAGTAAGTTGACCTTTCCTTTGCTTCCCACTAGAGCTCCATTCTCTAATCTCAAATATTAACTTGTGCAACTAAAAGTAACTTAATTACTATACATTTTTTCTTTTCAAAATACATAAACATGTATAAATTATTCTTTTATTCTTTTCTTAAAGCAAAAAACATGGGATATTGAACTTTCTAATATCGCACAAGATTTTTCAGATATTTCAATAGTATATGCTCAATTGATGGAAGAAAATAAAAAACTTGTGATCGATATTGAAAACATATCAAAAGGTATCAGTGAAAGGTAATTCTGCAAATATGATTTTTATTCTTATATAGCATATCTAATATGTTAAATATAATGAACCTCTTTATTTGGTGTTCCTGGGGTGGTATGGTGGTGTTTGTATTTATCATTAGCTTAAATTTTATTTCTATTCCAAATGTTGTTCTTTTATCACTCTGAATCCCTTAGAAAAATCAAAATAGTGAAAAAATGATCTTATAAGGAGTTTTACACTGACTCCTATCACCTTTTGACATATCCTCTTATACCCGAAGAATTAAAATGTCTAATCTTTAGAATTAAAATGTCTAATCAAGTTCATGATCTCCTTCAGTCAACCCTCATTTCTTCTCTGCAACTACAAAACTAGTTTTCTTAGCTCAGAAACCTATGAGTTTTCTTGATTCCTCTTTCTATTTCCACCCTTTTACTCAACATGTTAACGAGAAATATTCCACATACCAAATATCTTTTAAATCTATCCGCTTCGCTACTCCACCAGCACCCTGGTACAAGCTATCATTGTGTCTTGCATGAACTAACAGTGATTTCCAAACCTGGTTTACATGCTGTCACGATGCTCCCTTTTGAATCCATAATTTACATTGTGGTAGATGCGTTCTTTTTTCTTTTATAAGTATGATCAGTTCTCCTCCATACTGAATTAATTTTAGTAGGTGTAAAGGGACAAAAACTCCTCCTTAATGTATCTCACAAGGTCCCTGAATAGGTAGACATACCTGCCTTGCAGTCTCATATCACACCTGGTTCATCTTTATTATTTGGTTCAAATACAATGGCCTTATTTGAATTTCTCCTACTTGCTACTTTTTTTCCAGCCTATATGGTGTTTTTGTGCTATTTCCTTTTCCTATAATGTTTTTCTCTTCCTTCTTCCTGTTTAATTACTATTTATTCTTAAGATTACAGCTTAGGAATCAGTTCTGGGAAGCTTTCATTGACCGTCCAGTTAAATCCAATTCTTCTATTATGTGTACGTATGGCACACACTCTTCTCTTTCATATTTATTGTCAATTTTGTGTGTTTGAATATTTGATTGATGTCCATCTCCCTTAAAAACTGGGAAGATCCGTGAGGGCAGACATAGGCCATGACTATATTTTCTTCACCATTGAATCCTCATCATTGAGCATAGTGCCTGACACATACTATGCTATCCATAATTAATTATTGAAGGAGGGAAGGAGGAAAGAAGAGAAAGAAGTAATGATGATACTTGATGATTCGTATGGGAAGTTTGTTAAATTTTCTTAATGATTATTTTATCTTTGGCAATGATTGAATCTGTAAAAGTTATCTGTATGTTAAACATACTTTTTAAAAGGAAGTAAAAGGAACATTGTTTTCTAAAGGATAGCCTAAAATTATAGTTGCTAATGCTACTACATTTTATTTTATTAAGAAAGAGAACCAGAGAAGAAAAAAAATCTGAATAGTGGGTAAGATAATGAGGAGGTCCCTCTGGAGCAAAGGAAGAGAGTATGAGAGTTAGCATTTATTAGATTATCTTTCAATAATGAGCAACTGCCAAATCTTAGTGGTGTACAAGTATAAAGGTTTATTTCTCAGTAGCATTGCAACTTAGCTGTGTCTACTGTGTCTGTGCTTCATGTTATTTCTGCTTCTCGGATCCAGGGTGAAGGATTGGATCCTTCTAGGGCATGTTGTTCTGGTAGCACCGGTGTATTATTGAGATCACTCAATGACTTGTACATCTTCCACAGAAAGATGATAAATGTTGCTTATGCTCAAATTCCATTGAACAAATCAAGTCATATGACCAAGCCTGATGTCAACAGGGTGGGAAGTCTAATCCTCTTAAAAAGAGAGAGAGTGAGTGGTCGTGAACACTAATACAGTCTATCAAATGGTAGCCCTGGCTATAGGGAAGGATTTCCATAGTATGCATTGTGCTTGTCCAGATAATACCTTAAGATGTCACTTAATTACTTAATTTTTCATTCAGCTTTTTACTGGAAATTCAAAATTAAATGGGTGATTTCAACAGCAGACTGCACAGTGCTGAACTGAAAATTAGTGAAATATTAGTAAAATGAAAGAGAGATTAAGAGATGTACAGGCAAGAGTCAGGTCTACCACATATCTAAGTGATGTTCCAAAGGACCAGAATATAAAACAAAGGACAGAGGCAATATTTGAGGAGATAGTCAGTAGTTCATACTTCACAAATAGTTCTTATATTCTTTTTTTTTTAACTGACAAGTCTCTCACTTTCTAAGATAGATAGATAGATGCAAAAATAATTATTCTTTTCCAAATTTTATTTGCTTTTCTCCCAAATTTTCTAAGTCACTTTATGATTCCCTGTTTGACACAGGTATTTGAAGCTTTCTTTTACTTCTTAAACATAGTACAAATAGTTGTTTTATAATATACATACAATAATTTAAATATCTGTAGTCTTTGTCATCTACTTCCGCATCTCATTCTTCTAGCTCAAGTTCTTGCAGCCTTTTGTCCTTGTGCTCTGGGCTATTTTTATTCTGTGTTGTCCATTTTCTTCTGGAAACTATTTGTGGAAAATTGTTGAGTCCTAGGATAAAGTTGAATTAATCCTTTGCAGCCTTATATTTATGAGAGGAATTCTATTTTTGACTTTGTATCCTTAGATATGCCTAAGACGTTTTTTTTTTAGATTGGCCCTGAGCTAACGTCTGTTGCCAATCTTCCTCTCTCTCGCTCTTTTTTTTTTCTGCAAGGCCCCAGTTCATAGCTGTATATCATAGTTGCAAGTCCTTGTAGTTCCTCCGTGTGTGATGCTGCCACAGCATGGCTTGATGAGCGGTGTGTAGGTCCGCACCCAGGATGCAGTTCAGCGGCCTCTGGTGCGCTAACGCAGAGCATGTGAACACGACCAGTATGTCACCAGGCTGGCCCCTCTAAGACTTTTTTTTCATTTCCCAAGTCATGATATTTGAAGCTCCATTTTATCAAAATTTCCAGTGTTTTCAGAGCAAAAATATCTCGTATGATCTTCTTCACACTCTGATGGTAATGCATATTTGTTGTAGCAAAGAAAGTACAAAAAAGTGTAAAAACAGATTTAAAACTTAAAATCATTTCCATATGTAGAGGTCACCACTTTTAATATATTACTGACTTTTTCATTGTTAATGAAAGTGTGTCCTAATTTTATTCCCAAGATGATATAATAGAATTTTTATCAATTGTTATACAAATTTCAAATATATCATTTACGTCTCTGTACAAAAGTCTATTATATGGGTGTAACATATTTTTGCCATAATTTCTATATTTAGGTTGTTTTTATTTTTACAGCTTATAGATATTTTTGTGGTAAATTTTTTTTGTTAAGAAATCTTTCTTAGTGCTTTTTAAAGTAATAATAGATTTATATAAGTAGGTTGGTTATAATATATTTAAAATTTCTAATACCTCTCTGAAACTACTTTCCATAAAAGCCATACCATTTACTGAAGCTGAGCAGTGCATAAGCTTGTTTTGTTATTCATCTGTGCTAACACTGAGTTCTATGGTTGTTTAAACGTGTATTCCAACCTGACGAATGAAAAAATATACTCTCAAAATAGTTTCAAACTCCATTTCTTTCATCACTAAGGAGGTGGAATATCTATGCATCATCTCTTGAATTCTGCTTTTAGTAAATAATTCTTTCATGCTTTCAAGGAAGAAATAAAGAAATTAGGATTCAGAGAGGTAAAGTAGCTTTCCTCAAGTCTCCCAGCTAACACAACTGGTGTTTGAAACCTTTCTATATTCAGATTCAGGACTTTTGACCTTATCTCATTCTTTTGCAATTTAATCTGACTTCAATTTAATTGACGTTTAGTGAATGTTCGAATATGCTTGACATATTAGTCTGATAATAACAATCCTGAAGAGTAGACCTAATGCTAAAATTCCGATTCTCTTAGGGCACAGGTAAGATTGTGGTGGATTCACAGCTCTGCACTTTTAGCTGTATGGCTGGAGCTTAGAGCAAGTGCTTGACCTGATGTGTGTCTGTGTGTGCGCACACACTCATAGTTGTGTTTTATGTGGCAGGTCGGCACAGGCAAACATTGAGGGTAGGGAACTAAGTGTCAGATAATGAATAATTTTAAGGAGTTTGGACTCTGCTGAAGACTATGGAAATCCACTCAAGAAGCTGGATGGTCAGATTTCTCTTTTAACGACATCAGTCCAGTGGTAATTAGATGGGTTAGGGTTTGAATAATCGGTTTGATGGTAGTATCAGATGTTAAGCAAGAAATCTATTGAGGAACAAAAGAAAGATTGGAGGGAAGATGTTGATATGTTTGATTTGGAATTGTGTATGGCGTGATTCAAGTCTAAGTGTCTTGATATCACTTTGATTTATGGGTCTGAAATTTAGGAAGGATGTTTATGGAGATAGAAGTTAGATGTTAAACGTAGAAGAACTTGAAAATGACAAGCAAGCATTTTCATGTTTGTCACTTCATTTGCTTCTTATAAATTAGAATTTTCACAAGATAGAAATCTTGTGGGATAAATTATAACACTAGCCCCAAAATCAGCATGTAACATAAAGTTTCCCCAATATCTGATAGGGCAGAATCAAGAAATATAATTAATGACTTTTATCGACTGTATCCACTAACAAAAACAGCTTCATTGGTCATGAAAACCACAAATATCTACTTCGAAATTTAAGGGAAAAAAATCTCATTTGTTAGAGAATGAAACGTAAATTCAACTAAAAAGATATAAATACCAAATGGAAGCTTCTATGAAGAAAAGACCAAATATGATTGAAATTCTTAATATTTATTTTATTATTTATTTTCTAAAATATTTTTCCAGCTTTATTGAAGTATACTTGACAAATGAAAATGTGTATATGTAACATATACAAAGTGATAGGTTTTTATTAAGACTTTTTATTTTTTAAGAGCAGTTAGGTTCACAAAAAAATTGAGGGGAAGGTACAGAGATTTCCCACATATTCCTTGACCTTTCACATATATATCCT